TTTCAAGAAAGCCTATATTTTTTTCTTTGAAGCAAAAATTTGTCAAAATTTTATGCTTTATCGCCCCGGATAGTACTGAGATGTCTGTTTTCTACTGAAAAAAGTACTGGTCTCTTACGTTTGCTTTTCGAAAAAACCTATCTTTTCTCTTTTGAGGCAAAAATCTGTCAAAATTTTATACTTTACACCGCATTGTCTTCTGCCAAAATCTCTGTTTCCTAATGAATTTTTATCTTAAGAAATTTTTTTTTGTGCTAAAGAATTTTTTCGCATGAAAAAAATTCTTTTTTTTAATGCAAAAAATTTTTTTCTATTTGTCAAGATGTGTTTCCTGTATTTTCAATTAAATTTTTTACTTTATGTCGCATTAGCTCGTATTAAGCCTCCGTTTTCTATGAATTTTTATCTAAAAAAATTTTTTTGTGCAATTCTAACTTCCTGTCGGGATATATCTCCCATATTTTCAATATTTTCATTATTTTACTATTTCAGTATTAGTTAAATCGTGATGTTTTTTGAGTTAAATCGTGATTCTTTTACGCTGTAAGACTGTACGGCAAGCTGCACTAAGTGCATTCATCATGCCTACGGTTATGTTTGACACGGTTATTTTATTAGGTATCACTGAATTTTGGTGCTGATTCGTTAGACGGTTTTTTGCGTTTCTCGATCTTTTTGCGCCATACTCGTGTTGAGTTTTCTTAAGTGAATTTTTCACCATTTTCGAAGAATATTCAATAGTTTCTCAAATTTTGTCAAAAATGAAGCAAAATGAGGGAGAGGGAAAGGGGAGTGATTCATCATTTTTGAGGGATATTCAATAGTTTGATCAAATTTTGTCAAAAATGAAGCAATATGAGGGCGAGGGGAGGGGACTGATGAGGGGAGGGGGCTCATTTTTGAGGGATATTCAATAGTTTGATCGAATTTTGTCGGAAATGAAGTAAAATGAGGAAAGGGACTGATTGTTTTAAAACGACCTGAGCTAGGCCTGGACTGGTATTTTTCTTCGTAAAAAAAAATTGGGGCGCTTTTTTGAGCGGAAAAAAGGGGTACCAGTGATTTTATTTGATCAGCTGTATTTTGTTCGATGTCTTTCTTCTGTACTAACTCTTTTTTGTTTGTTTTTCTTTTTTTTTTTGAATAAATCTGTAAAAGGACACGTGTTTATCTCTTTTTTGGTGAAATCGGAGATTTTTAAACCCGAATTCTCGTATTTTTGTTGAAAGCTGCTGCGCAGTTAATTCTTGGCTTACCTCCTGCTGCGGGTAACAACAATTTTGGGAGAATCTTAGGAAAATTGCTGGAAAATGAGCCATATCGTTCTTCCCCGGTAAAAAATATATTTGTAAGATTGTTTAAAAATTGTCATATTCCAGTGTACCGGTAAATTTGCAATCTGTGTTTCATCCCTTAGCTGGAGCAATGCAATGGTGGTAAACATTAGTGGAAAACTGAAATGAAATAATGCTAAAATAGTGCATTTTAGCTGATTGAGTGACAGTTGAAGCGAAGGGGCATATCGGCATGAGCAGAGTATTCTTTTCAGTGATTATATTATCTTTAGCTATAGAACAAGGCTGATTTTTATGTTTTTTTTTCTTTTTTTTTGCATCTATGCAATGCAGAAAACGCGTATTGATGAAGGATTGTCTGTGTGTGTCTGTATGTTTATCTGTACCGATTTTTCAGACCTACAAAAGCTACAAGACTAAAACTTTGGTAACTTAATCTACATGCATGTACAGGTTTCTACCCCCTAAAATGGACCCTCTTGCTTATGTGATTTCCGTAGAGGACCGTGAATTTTTTTGGTGGATTAATTACTAATCCGGGAATCAGAAAAGCTAGAAAGCTAAAATTTTAAGGGGATGTTTTCCGATAGTCGTGATAGCCAGTCTCAGTTCTTTTAGCTAGAAGCATCTGGCGCGAAAAAATACCGGTGCCATCAGTGACAAAAACCTGCGGGGAACTGTGCAAAAAATGCATCTTCGCACTGGCGGTCGATTATTAACTTTCAAGTGGGTGGACAGGAAGAAGTACGTTTTCTTGAGAAGTGTTGCGTGTTCTCGTGCGTTTTTCGTCTTCATCTTTTCGGCATAAACATGTAAATGCAGCTTCGATTTTCAGATAATTAAAATAAAAATGATGGAGTCAGCATCGCAACAAGAATTAACCAACTGGCCATCTTTTTTCTCGATGAATTGCCACGAACCCTGCTGTACAAAACATAGCGAAGATGTATGTTTTACAATGCTTTTTCATACGGTCTTTGTTAGGTCCTCACGTGGTCCTTGACTGCAGCAGCGGAAGACAGGGAAGAATGCCAGCACTTTATTTTTTTCCAACAAAGAGCTTCGCTTCAAATAAAACGACGAACCGGGGCGCCGCACAAGCTGTTCAGCAGAAGAAGGGTGCTGGTGGTGTTGAGGCGAGCAGCCAGTAGCGTTAGTTGTGGCAGGACGTAGCGGACCAATGGCGCGTATTGATTCCCCAAAACTAAGAATCTGGGTTTTTAGAAGGGGCTTATATAGGGAAAATTAGTGGAGGGGAAAAGGAGGGCAAGGTAGTTAGTGAGTGAGAATGTAGGTAATATAGAATTGTAATTTTAATTTTAGATGATTTGTGTTTGGGTAAAAAGTAAGGGTTAAAAAGAAAGGAATAAAAGGAAGGTGAACAAG